GATAAGAGTCGGCATTGTTGTCAGTGTTTACACCCATAATATCAGTTATCCACCTGAAACTAAAGAAAATTAGACCCTGGTTGATGTTGTATTAAATTAATGTAAAAAATATATGTATATTTTAATTAATGTTATTTAATGTACAGTAGAAGTAACCACTGATATTAAAGAAAAAAGTGAGACATAGTGGAACGCCAATGTATACTACGTGCGAACTCAAGGAAACACAGTCATTTATCTTAAGAATATGTACAAAAGAATCATTATTGTTTATTACTGAATATGTACAGTATTTGATTGAATTAATGTTTATATACAGTGAACCCTCACTTTACGCGGTCAATTGAACCCATGGAGGCCCACGTAAGTAAAGTGAACAACATAACATATGGGATTAAATGAAATAGAGACCGGCTGACCCCCAAACTCCACTTTTTCCGACACAATACCTATGTTCTAGTAAAAATAACATCTTAATTTTATGATGGTACATGCACACAATTAATATTTATGAGAAACAGAGAAATACAGTCGCCAAGTTAATGTCCATTCAAATAATGGACTCAACTCCCTCCCCATCTTCTCACACTTGCTGGCTCTTCCCTCTCTGAGAAATGTTTGGGGGAAAACCACTAGATTTTAAGGTATAGTAATAAATAGTACCTCAAACTAAAGTTAGGATAATATAATTGACATTGCTGGATTCCTTGTAAGACCAGGAATATTTTGAATATAAATGTCATATATTTTGCACAAAAGATAACATATTTACTCAGAGTAAACAAAATACTTACATTAGATCTAAAATTTGTATGTCTAATGCAAAATCTATGATGTTTACATTCAAAATGATCATCAAATTGTAAGAATTCCAGCAATGTAAATTATATTCTGGCCAGGTAATTTGTATGAATTTTATGAGCTAAAACAAATATCTTCAGTTAATAATAAAAAAAAATATTCTTCAGACACTATCTGTCAATCAAAACACCCCACCTTGCCTCCACCCCTCTTCCCACCACGCCAGCTGGGTCGGTCGGTCCCTCCCTCCCCCCCACCCTCCCTCCCTACCAGAGAAATGTTTGGGAGAAACCAGAATATTTACCTTTTTAGTAATAAATAATACCTCAGACTAAAGTTAGGATAATATAGTTCACATTGCAGGATTCCTTGCAAGACCAGGAATATTTTGAATACAGTATACACGTCATATATTTTGCACAAAATATAACATATTTGCTCAGAGTAAACAAAATACTTACATTAGATCTAAAATTTGTATGTCTAATGCAAAATCTATGATGTTTATATTCAAAATGATCAACAAATTGTAAGAATTCCAGCAATGTAAATTATATTCTGGCCCGGTAATTTGTATGAATTTTATGAGCTAAAACAAATATCTTCAATAAATAAACAAAATATACTGACCCAAATACTATCTGTCAATCAAAATACCCCACCTCCCCCCCTCTTCCCACCTGCTCCCTGGGTCCCTCCCTCCCTCCCTACCCCACACCCCCACCTTCCCTCCCTACCAGAGAAATGATTGGGTTATAACAGTATATTTACATTTTTAGTAATAAATAATACCTCAGACTAAAGTTAGGATAATATAATTGACATTGCTGGATTCCTTGCAAGACCAGGAATATTTTGAATATACACGTCATATATTTTGCACAAAAGATAACATATTTGCTCTGAGTAAACAAAATACTTGCATTAGATCTAAAATTTGTATGTCTAATGCAAAATCTATGATGCTTATATTCAAAATGATCATCAAATTGTAAGAATTCCAGCAATGTAAATTATATTCTGGCCGGGTAATTTGTATGAATTTTATGAGCTAAATAAAAAAATTATACTTCACCCGCGTATATGAGTAGATGCACCGCGTAAAGTGGGAATTCCGGTTCTGGCAGGGTACCGTGTAAATGTAGAAACGCGTAAAGTGAAACCGCGTAAAGCGAGGGTTCACTGTATGTGAAATGAACAATGCAATTCATTAATAATACATAGAATATTAATACACATGAGGAGACAAGACGGCGTTGTTTTCGTGAGTGACGATTGTTCTACAAAAGAAACTGAAGAAAATAAGACCCTGGTTGTAGCTGTAGTGAACTTAATTTAAAAAAATTGAATACCTGTATGTATGTTTTAAGTAATGTTATTTAATGTTAATAAATGGAAGACTAGAAGTAGCTAACCACTAATGGTAAAGAAATAAAGCGAGACAATTAGGAATGCCAATGTACAGTGGGGTATGCTATAACGAATCTAATTGGTTCTAGAACCTTGTTCGTTATAGCAATCGTTTGTTATAGGATTAATCCGTTCCAGGCCCCCAAATACAACCACTTAACACTGAAAAATATAATATAAAATTGTAAAAATTGTAAAAAAGTGCGTAAATATGCATCTAAACCCCTGAGATAAAGAATATCATTAACATTTGTAATAATAAAACAATAAATTAGAAAAAAAAAAAAATAAATAAATTATGTTCGTTGTAGGAGTTTCGTTCGTTATAGTATTCTCAATTTTATAGGTAAAACCGTTCGTTATAGGAATATTCGTAGTAGGATCCGTTCGTTATAGCATACCCCACTGTATGTACAGTAAGTGCATACACCTGAAAACATATCGTCATTTCTCTACATATGAATATGAAAGCAACACTTATTTATTGTTTATATATGTTTTAAATAATATTTACGAATGTAAAACAAAAATTCTACTCACCAGTGGTGGTAAAGTCTAAAACATAAGGACAGCCAATGAATATTGTGTGAGTTTTTACTCAGATGACGCAGTCATCCGGTTCAACTCTGGCTGAAGCTGAAGGTTCAACTCTGGCTGAAGCTGAAGGTTCAACTCTGGCTGAAGCTGTAGCTTTCCATAAAGCTGTTGCTGAAACTGTTACTAAACCTGAAGTTGATGTTGAAGCTGCTTATGATGCTGAATTTGATGGTGTTGCTGAAGTTGATGGTTCAGGCCTTCGAATAATAAAGCTGTCGAAAGAACCTTGCACAGCTGCTTTCTTTTCTCATTATACATCTTCATGTAGAGGTCATTTGCATTTATTTAAATTTTAATGCTTTGTTCTGTTAATGGATCCACTTCAGAAAATATGTTCATTGCTTGCTCCATACAATATCCACAGACCTCTCACCTTTTTCATATCGTTTTAATACATCTAGTTTCTCGGCTAAGCTTATACACTTTCTATTAGCTTTTGAAACAACACTACCATCACTTGCTCATGTTGAATAGGGATGCAAAACTGCTGTAAGAAACCTGAGAAATTTTTTCTCTTGTTCCTGTTCAGATGCGTGAAAACAAAGGGACCGCCAAGCTCCGACTGTTGTTTACTGGCGATGCGCATTACCACTCATTAGCTAAGCAGCTTCTTTGAGCAAGGTGCTCTTCATTTTTTTGACAGCAATTTTTAAATCTTTTTTATAATACATATTGGGATTTAATTATTATTAATATGAAAATGTAATTTTATTGTATTTTTATTGTATTTTGGTCGTAAATACAAATGAAATAAGGACATAAATTGAATCGGGTTCTAAATTAACTAGGGTCTTAAATATGAAAAGTTGTTGGTCGAACCGTTGTTATCGGAGGCTTTACTGTATTTACTTGTGTTAAGTCAGGAGTGAGACTGCCATGCTGTATGTTTCCACCTCTGCCTATTTATTTTGTTGCTAGTTTTGATATTTCACTAAACTTACTTTCAGAACTGTCTTCCAATTAAAATTATTCTGAAAGCAGCTCCTTTTTATTCTCTAGCTTCAATAGAAAGAAGAATATTACCGATATGAAAGTTGGTAACACATTTGGGCCACCAACCCCTGAGCTAGATGACACACATCCTTTCTCTACAGCTTCACAGAACATGTCTTATTACAGTATCTGGTAACTCTACAGGTTACCTGAGAAATGACTGGCTGCCATATTGGACTGATAGAAAGAAGGTAAATTTTAAATATGGAAAAATGTTCGTGGATAACCTTAGTTGGGGCATAGTAGGTCTCTGCATCCAAACATAAGGTTAAAACAGACTGAACATTAAACTAGTCCAACTGGCAGTAGTGAATCACTACCAGTGGTTCCTCATCAGAAATTGACCAGGAATTAGGAAAAACACAAAGGTATGTCTCATAGGTTGACTCTTAGTATTGTAATGGTGTTTAAGCAATATATACTATAAAACTTCAATAAGCAGACTGTTTGGCTCAAGTTCTGAATAAGCTTTGTATATATTCTTTTCATTAATCATTAACTCAGTCTTACTAGAGAAGTAAAATACGTATAAACATTTTCAAGAAAATTATATGTGTTACTGCTCCCCGTGTCTGTTCACAGTTATAATAACTATTATTACCCCTTATCTGGCCCGCCAGAGACATAACCTGTTTTTACATGACTGTTAATTAATTATTTATAGATTTGATTATCCATTAGTCATCTGGAAATGTTACCATGTGATTAATCGGGAGTCTCCTATACATTCGCTGTCACCTCCCTCAGACTTTACTCATATACCTGTACTCCATATACTTTGTCGTGTGTCTAAATTGGATATTACATTTTTATCTTCACTCTTATGTTCTGAGTGATGTTCACGTTTTGGATACAGTATATACAGTACAGTAGTACTAAAATTCACATAAAAGTATGTCATCTGCTGATACTGAACCAATGCAAGTTAGCGGTCCAAGCTCTCAAAACCTTGGCTGATTTTTTACGACCTAAAATTTCATTGCAAAGAGTTTATATGTCCAGCTAAATTATACTGTATATCTTAAGATAAATATTATTACCTTTGTAAACTTTCAGAGGTACAGTATTAATAGTTTTCACTTAATCCAGTAATAGTGATATCTGTTACTGCTGTAATGACTGTACACTATTCAAGAATTTGTTAATGAACACCAAGCAAATGTGAAGGGAGAGACATTATAAGTCTTTTATACAAGAAAGAATCTAATAAATTTTATGTAAAAGTTTAGCAGCATCATACACATTACATAATGTTATAGAACAAAATGATACAGAGAAGGTGGTGGTGATGGTACAGCAATAATGCATGTATCTCTCACAACTGTGTCATGGGTTTGAGTTCTGGCCAGGGACAGATGTGGGAAGGGTGTTATCCAGTGTGACACAACCAAACATCACAGGATTCCTCCTGTATTAACACTGGACAATTAAATTCATAACAAAGTAACAAACAACAGACCAACAGGCCAAATGGCTATTAAGTTGATAAGTAGTAAAATGATAAATAACAAAATTAAATTAAAAGCCCTTGTAATGATTAATATTGATGATATTCTTCAGGGTTTAATAGGATGATGGGATCAAAGATAATTTCATTGTACAGTATTCAAATTTAACTATTTTTTGAGAATTATAAAATTAAGTGGGTCATTCTGCATTATAAAAAGGTCTAAATATACAATTCAGATAATTTTTATAATGACAACAGAAAACCAGTGAGAACTACACATTTAAAAAGATTTACATATTGCCAAAATCCTTCATTTCTTGGTGTTAGATCCTTTGTAACAATATACTTCAGCTTGATAGTCAAAAGAATACAGTACTGTTCCTTCATGAACTTCTAATAAAAACCTGAAGACCTTTGTAATAATGAATGTGTTCACAATATTCTTGTAGAGTTAGAATAAGTTATATTGCACCACAGCAACAGAGGTAGTTGATAAAAAAACGATAGCATATTTACACAAATATCACTGCAAGAGCTTGTAACCAATTTATCAGGGAGAATCTTTATCCAGAAGTGAAGAGCATGGTGACCAGTCCTGCAGACACTATGGCAAACAATACATTGCAGAGTTAGGTATAGTTATTTGATAAAACTCAAGACTTACAATTGTAATCAAAGTAGCCTACCAACCAGTTAAAGCTGCCCCTGTAAGAAATCAGTTTTGTCTGCATAATACACTCAAAATTACAGATGTAGATAAAATATGATGTAAAGGATAGCATTATAATGTCAGTGTAATGAAGCAAAAAGTTATAAAATAAAGGGAGATGATGATGACTTTGATTCTCTCATTCTTTAACCAACATAACAGTACAGTATACCCAAGGTAGACACACAAGGTATATATATATATACCCAAGGTAGACACACAAGGTATATATATATATACCCAAGGTAGACACACAAGGTATATACGGGTAACTAAATACTTCAGCACTAATTTATATAAAATTTAGTAAATCCCACATTAGGAGTGATTTGCATAGCATTTTCTTGATACCAAATCTGAATAAAATACTGTACTAGCAAATGAATGTGATTTTCTTATTAATGCTATTGACCTCCAGAGCAAGTCATAAAAATTACAGTAGTGTTGTATACAGTATCTCATAAATCATGGAACAAAATTTTTCTTTATATTGTAGAGCCAAAACAATCGGTATAAATTGTTTGGGTCATCAACTGTCAAAGCATCTGGTGGGATAATTTATTTACATGTTTTTTAATTCATTTAATAATTCCAGATTAACAAGTAAAAAAGAAAAAAAAATGAAACAAAGAAACTGTGGTTAATCTGAAATTGCAAGCCTTTTAAAATAAATGAGTAAAACAACCTATCCGTACATTTCTTGAACATATAAAAAATCTCACTATTCTACACTTCTGAAAAAGGATTTCATAAATTTATAATATCAATAGTGTAAGCTTCCCAGTAACATGGGATTTGCTGACAAAATAGCTTTTGTTACCCTGAAAACTTGATATTATTGTACTGTCTTAACTAGTTTTCATAGAAATTAAATTGTCAAATCGTGCGGTAAAACATCATTCTAGAACATCAGTACAGTATTCCTCTCTTCCGTTAGCTGGCAAATAATCATGTATAGGTTGTATACGTCTTAAGCTACTGAGAGGAAGAAAAATAAAACAGAATAAATAAACAATGACTCCAGAATGGCTCAACTTCTAAAGCTTATTCTCACCCATAATTTATTTTAATCTGTACGAGTTATACAATATGAAACTGGTGATTTGGCTAAATATGAATTTGGTGCTTAGCACTATCTTGTAAATTTAAACAATTATATCATCTAAAATATATTGAGAGCTCATCTGGGCTTGGGGTGATGAAAAGCCAAGGGTATAGGGTTGGTTGCAGATATTTTAACAGAATCAGTTGGAACTAGCCAGTGTTTACTGTGCTGTAACTCTATCTTCATCTGCTATATAAAAGGATACAATGCAGGAGATAAAAGAGTATCAAGTTATATATTCTGAAAACTTACTTAATACAAGACAATCTGACAGTTTATGCTCATAGTCCTGTGCCCAAAAAAATCTAAATGCCATTCTGACAATGGGGTACAAAATTAGAACAAAAATTATTTTAGGAAAGCTCAAAACTTCAACTAAAATTTTGGATAACAACCGTGTTAATTACATGTCTGCCAACAACACCTGAAGTTGACATGGGTAAAATAACATGTAGAAGACATCCTCACCCTACAGCATCTCAACTATTCATGTCGTTTTTATTGAAATTTCCCCGAGAACATCTACTACCAATCTCATGCTAACTACCAAATGAAGGACAAGTATCACACACAAGCATGTTGCAGGAGGATCCTCATTATTTCTGCACAATGACATCATACTCATCAAATATTATCAGTCCGAATCGTAATCCATGTGTTCGAGGGAACCGTATTCCTGTAAGAAAAACAGAAACACTGTATCAATTTTTACATCTTTTTACCTGTATACTGTATATGGCTTTGAACATGACATATCGCCTCCCCCCAAAGCAGTTAATATTGATTTACCAAATCATTGTTTTCCAACAATGACATATGACCTGATAGTGTTGAATGTACAGTAAGTAATATCTACTTTAGCCGGAATCCCTGAAACCCGGAACTCTCTGAAAGTGGTAATTGAAATTTTCTCAGAAAATTGTTCCCAATGCGGCAATTTTCCGGAAAATTCCGCGTTTGGGAAAGATATCCCGAGAGGCACATTTTCTGGAAAATTCTGATAAAATTTTCCCAGTACAGTACCTTGAAAATTTCGAGGATGGGGGGAGTTTTTGTCCTGGATATGAAAGAAGAAAATCAGGTGCATTTTCCGGAAATTCCGATAAAAATTTTCCGGTTCCCGGAAAATACCGGGGAAGGGGAATATTTTTCTAGGTTCGAGAGAAAATGTAATGCACAATTACTGGAACTTCTGAGAATATTTTTCCGTTTTCAGGAAAATTCCGGGAATGAGGGATTTTTTCCCAGCTCTGAGAGATGAAATAATGCATTACGTATTCTGGAATTTCAGAGAACATTTTTCCATTACCCGGAAAATTATAGGGACGATGGATTTTTTCTGGCTTTGAGAGAGTCGTCTCGTTACCCAGAAATCTCTCGGTCCCTCCCGGAAGTGCTCTGCACCGATTGTTCCGGCTAACGAAGATATCACATAGTATGTATTCTTCATGTTTTGCTAGTATCAACCAGGGTATACTATCCATACTTGGATTGCCAGTGTTCACATCAGACACAAAGACGAACTTAGGTGTTGCACAAGAATGTGTAGTCACGGTGTACTGATAACCATGTTCATCTCGCAAAGTCAAAATAAAAAATTATGAAAGCATCTAGTACGGTGAAATTTTCACCTCGGGAAAACATGGGAAAATTGTACAGTAGCTAGGAGCACCAGGGCAAGGGTTCTAGAAAGGTTGGAACAAGGTGACATTACTTTGATGATGAAGTTGAAAATAAGAGAAATTATTGGAGAGTTATTCTGTCAAGTTGAAAATGGAATAAGTTAACTGACCATTAACCTTTAACTGGCAGCTAAGGATTCCCTACTTGGCCCCCATATGTGCAAATAATGGAATGCATGGAACATGAAACATCCAAGGATGATGGCTGCCATCCCAACAGCAAACTTCCACTGATGCTGGCCACCATAATTACAATTAAGTACAGGTAATTAACTTCCACTGATGATAGCCATTCCCCAATTATGTAACTGTATATTTTCAGCCTTCAGGCTGCCAAGCTCTTTCAATAACCCGTTAATTATTATTATTATTATTATTATTATTATTACAGCTAACTTAAACTGATGATGGCCAAAGTGAGACAGGACCTACACCTATAAGAACATAAGAATGGAGGAAACTGCAGTGGGCCTATTGGCCCATATTGGGCAGTCCCATTTACACCCAACCCCTATTGCCCATACAGGCATCCCCCGCGTTACGGAAGCCCGGGTTACGGAATTTCGCTCTTACGGAATTTGTAAATTATGACCAATAATTTCGCGTTACGGCCCGTAAATCCGCCCTTACGGAAATTGGGGTAAATTTTAACAAACACAAGGCCTCACACATGCCAATCAGACTGACAGACTTGACAATTTTTACCAACCATAAAGACAGTTGAAGCTTTAAACATCACTCACAATAGATCTTGAATATTCCAACTGTAATCAGAAATACCTAAGTTGCCTCAACAATTGCAACCTCAGTTGCAATATCAAATTCTGTGTCACTACTAAAAAATAATAGTCCCTGGTGCACTCTTAAGATTAAGAGAAAACGGACGACTCAGGCGGCCTTGAAGTGAGAGAAAACGGACTCCTATGACGGGGCACTCAAATAAACATACACATAGCTGTATAATGCAATATTATGCAATATTAACCCCTAAATCGGTTAATTTGGACAATCGGCTAAAACGGACACCCTTCCCCCCCTATTAGTCCGTTTTAACGAGGGTCGACTGTATATATACAGTGGGGTATGCTATAACGAACGGATCCTACTACGAATATTCCTATAACGAAAGGTTTTACCTATAAAATTGAGAATGCTATAACGAACGAAATTCCTACAACGAACATTATTTAAAATATTTTTTTTTTTTTTTACTAATTTATTGTTTTTTTATTACAAGTATTAATGATATTCTTTATTTCAGGGGTTTAGATGCATATTTATGCACTTTTTACAATTTTATATTATATTTTTCAGTGCTAAGTGGTTGTGTTTGGGAGCCTGGAACGGATTAATCCTATAACGAATGAATGCTATAACGAACAAGGTTCTAGAACCAATTAGATTCGTTAAAGCATACCCCACTGTATGTATGTATATATATATATATATATATATATATATATATATATATATATATATATATATATATATATATATATATATATATATATATATATATATATATATATATATATATATATACAAATACAGTCATGCGCCGGTTAACGTCCTAGATACGTTCTTGGAATGTGACGTTAACCGAAATGTCCGATCATCACATAAACTTTTTATTTATACTTATGTGTATGTGGAATACTATATACGTACATATACACTTTTACTCTTAAATCATTACTGTAATGTGATACAGGTGATTAATTTTTATTTCTTGTGCAAAATACATGACGTTTATATTAAAATTATTCACTGTTTTACAAGGATTCCAGCAACGCCAGCAGATGGGGGAGAGAGCGGGTGGGAGTGAGCGAGGGGGCGTGGGGGTGAGGGGAGGTGGTACGTTTGACAGTTGGCACAGGCCCAGGTCTAACGCGTGTATATTTATCAGTTCTCAGGTGACTAAGCTTCTCTCTTATAAAATGCCAGTGAAATGACCTGGGTGAAAATAATTAACAAAGCTGGGATTCTTGTAACATACAGATTAATTTGAATATAAACATGCTATAATTTGCACTAGACAAAAAAATTTTAGTACCGTAATCAAATTAGTACATGTGCACTCCAGCTTTGCACTAAGAAATCTATGTAAATCTACCCAAAAATACAGTTGAAAAACTTTTTATAAAATGTACTACAGTATTGTACACCAATGTACTACATTTTTTATATTGTAGTGGACGTCTCCCCTACAACTGCGTATCGCATTCCGACGCGCTGCCGTATCCTAGAAACCAAGCGAGAGCTGACACCAGATGGTACGGTGGCCTAGCAACGAAACTATTCACCGGCGACTTTCTGGGTTTTCCCAACATGATTCATAGAGGACTGGCGGCTGCTGCTGGGTATATAAGCTCTGTCTCTCCATTGAGATTCATTCTGCCCATCTTCCTGAACAAGCAACACCTCCTCCAGCAAGCTCCACGCTGTCAGCATTCATTCAACCAGGAGGCCAGCAACAGGCAACATCTTCTCTAACGAAGCTCCTGCACATCTACCTCCTTCAACACGCTACTCACCGAACGTCTCTACTGAGCAGCTCCTCACCGCACGGCACCTCCAGCACCAGACTGTCTATCATATAACTTATATTATATAAGAAAACCACATTAGAGTTTCCTTCCATCCTGAGTGCTAGACAACATTAATATCTCGATACCCCTACAATATCTTGAGCAAAATATATGACGTTTATATCAAATTAATCTCTGTCTTGCAAGGATTTCAGCAATGCAAATTATATTATCCTAACTTTAGTCTGAGATATTATATAAAATAAACATAAAGAAATCACCAATCTTTTATCTTGAACACGAGGGTGGTGGGAAGAGGGCGGGAGGTGAGGTGACAGAATGTCTGGCGTTTGTTTGTTTATTTATTTGAGATCAAGATTTGACAGTTGGCGCTGAAGGCCTGCCTGCGTGTTTATTTATCATTACTTAAGAGTGACTAAGCTCTTCTCATAATTTGCCACCCAAACGACCTGGGTGAATATAACTTACATCGGAGGGATTCTTGCTTGAGCAAAATATATTACGCTTATATTCAAATTATTCTCTGTCTTGCAAGGATTTCAGCAATGCAAATTATATTATCCTAACTTTAGTCTGAGATATTATATAAAATAAACATAAAGAAATCACCAATCTTTTATCTTGAACACGAGGGTGGTGGGAAGACGGTGGGGGGGAGGAGGCGGGAGGTGAGGTGACAGAATGTCTGGCGTTTGTTTGTTTATTTATTTGAGATAAGATCTGACAGTTGGCGCTGAAGGCCTGCCTGCGTGTTTATTTATCATTACTTGAGAGTGACTAAGCTCTTCTCATAATTTTCCACCCAAACGACCTGGGTGAATATAACTTACTGTACATTGGAGGGATTCTTGTAATATAGTAATTTATTTGAATGATTTTTTTTTTTAATTTAAATTTTAATTGTTTTTTCCTTGATAGAGGAAGTGGGATCATAGTGCTGTCACTTGGTACCCCTGTACCATACTGTAATCCACAAAACATGTAGCTATGCTTTTTTTATTTGGTCCCCCGTCATACGAGTCCATTTTCTCTCACATGAGGACGCCTGAGTCCTCCGTTTTCTCTCTTAATCTTAGAGTGCACCAGAAACTTTACTATTTTTAGTAATGCCACAGAATATGAAATTGCAACTGGGGTTGCAATTGTTGAGGCAACTAGATATGTCTGATTACAGCAAATGTGTTATTGTCAATTTGTAGGTGAAAGATTTTATCTTCAGTAGATGTAGGTTAACATTTCACCTGTAGGCAAATGCTTAAAAAAAGCCTAAGTAAGGAAGCATATTCCTTTAACACATAATATCTGACCAGTATGGGGAGGATCATGGTGTCTCCGTCAGGGGGTTGTGGAGTGGTGGTCCAGCAGGCATCACGTTGGTTTTTAGAGCAGACGTATATCTGATCAGACGTTCTTGATTAGGATGTCAACAGCTATGACTGTGTGTG